GTAACGGTCGTGTTGTGTAGGGTGTGAGACACGTGAAGGAAAGACAGGTCTCCCATAGAGTGTCCTGATTAATGTGACAACCTCACTTTAGAACAGGGGACATAGCGCTGCGTCCCATCAGCTGTGGTGGGCCAAGAGCAATTGAGCTCCTATTCCAATGGGGGGTGACTTGGAACGGACCCTTGCGCTTGTCAGTTCACTCACCGCCTCTGTGGCACCCTGTGACATGGGGAACCTCCTGGAAGGGAAGTAGGTGGCCAACTCCCATTGAATTCCAGTGGGTGCCTAAATCCTTCCAGCCCCTTCAGAATCTCAGCCAAAGTTCCCGCAGTGCGCTGAGTGCCAGCCGGTGCTAGAAGCATTGGAATAGCCTTTGTAAAGGACAGATGTTTTTCTAACACAGAGATCCTGTCTTGGGCTGGCTGACCTGGTCTTTGTCTAACCCAGATTCTGTTAAAACACTTTGGGTACGTTGGATCCAATAGAGATGAAGGAGCAAATCCCAAGCCCTGCCTAGCCCAAGGCAGGAAGGCCACGGGAGCTGGGACCCTGTACACTCCTTGGCATGTTTACCCATTGTTACAGAGATTACGTGGAGAATAAACTCTTTGGGATAGTCCGTACGGCACCGACAGGGTCCTGGCCCCTGACTGGGAGTCCAACGTGCTGTTCCATACAATGAATCATAGCAAGAACTCATGAGTGATATTCTGAAACAGTCTGTGGAAGTTCTGGCAGATCGTCTCCGCTCCTAGGAGTTGCCAGGCTGGAACAGACCAACACCCCACTGAATCCAGCAGCCCGATTCGGAGCATGGCCAGCACCACGTACTGCAGCAGAAGGTGCAAGAGTCCGAATGACAGGACAAGGAACGATGGTCTCAAGTTGCAGTGGGGGAGGTCTAGGTTGGATATTAGGATACACTATTTCACTAGGAGGGTGGTGAAGCATTGGGAATGGGTTCCCTAGGGAGGTGGTGGAATCTCCTTCATTAGAGGTTTTTAAGGCCCAGCTTGACAAAGCCCTGGCTGGGATGAGTTAGTTGGGGATTGGACCTGCTTTGAGCAGGGGGTTGGATGAGATGACTTCCTGAGGTCCCTTCCGACCCTGATCTTCTATGATTCTATGAATCTGTGAGTCCCCACAGTGGGCAACGAATAGTTATTTATCAGTGTTAACGTCCGCTGGTGCTTGAGCAGTGGCTGGTCCCTGGGCTGACACCCCGGACATGGAACCAGGCACCTCCAGAGCCAAGGTGCCCGAGTCACGGGCTGTCACAATTTATATCCTCTGTGGGTCCGGCACAGAGGGTGACTTGTAACACACTCACGAGTGGGTTATTCTTGCATTATGAAGGAGTAAATAGGAGCAGCTGATTTCCCTTCTCTGCACCAGTCAGCGCGTCCTATACCTCCTCTCATTTGGCTTCTCAGCTACACAACTCCAGTCTTTTCAGTCTCTCCAGCTGTGGGATTCTCGCAAGGCCTATCTAATTATTCTCAGCAGCTGCCCCCTGTCTTTCTGCTCCATCTTTTTAGGAGATAGGGTGACCAGAACTGACCCTGGTACATCTAGATAGCAAAGCACAGATGGCTAGAGGGTCTCACTGAGCCCTCCGGGTTTGTCCCCCAAGTGGTTACAGTTCTGTCAGATCCCAGCGATGTATGCCACAATCTCAAATTGCTCCTCCCAAGGCACCTCACTTTGCATTTGCTGGCACCGCCATCACGGTGCCTATCCCCCTACCTCCTCTAGATCCCTCTGACGTTCCTCTCTGCCTTCTCTAGCCCTGATTAACCTCAGTGACTTTGTGTCATCTGTACATGTCCCCTGTCCCCGTTCTCTCCCTCTTCTAAAGCATTAATAATTACTCTAAACACCATCCCTCACATGGAGCCTTCTGGCATCTGCTCCCTTTAGCCATGATGAAAACTGACCATTTAGCCTCAGACCTTTGTTTCCTGTCTCTTAGCCCATTGTGAATCTAGGGTGATACTTCACCTCTCAGCCTGCTCGTTTCCCTAATAGCATCTCGTGAGGGACTTTCCAAAAGCTTCTTCAAAGTCCAAAAAAGTTATATCAACCATAACTAATCTCCTTTATTCCCTGTTCTCAGATAACTCAGGTAGATTAAAGAGACACCAGATTCCTTTCCCGTCAGTCTAGGTGCAGATATTCTAAGCAGACAGAGCTGGGTGCAATGGGCACTAGCCCCATAGGGAGTCCCAGTTAATTTTACCCCACCTCTATCCATGGAATGGACTTAAACGTCCATTTAAACCAAGGGAATGGCTTCCTTTGCCTTCAATGGGTGTTGGATTAGGCGCACAGCTTCCTGGAGTCAGGCTGCCTGCATTCTCTCCCGGCTCTGCTACTGATGCTGGGTGACCATGGCAGAGCTGCTCTGTGTTTACTCCTTGGGAGGCGCTGGGGTCCCTCGGCGATGAGCAGCGTCACAGGCTAGCCAGACAGACGCTCTCCGGTGGCATTTCCTACAGCAGTCAGACTCAGGAGGACGCAGTGAATTATTCCCAACCTGCAGTAGCAGATCCTCTCTACCAGCTCGGCACAATTATCACTCCACCAGCCTCCTTAAAGAAACCCCCAGTGTTTGACTTTCTGATGGCAGCCGGGATCTGGACGTGCAGCGGAAACATGGGGTCAATTGCCAAGCACCAGGCGGTTTGTCACTAGCAGTCAGGTGAGGATTAGCCCCTAGCACGGCTGCTTCTTCCGAGGGATTTTCATCTTCCTCAGCTGCATGATGCTAACATAGAATTGTAGAATATCAGGGTTGGAAGGGACCTCAGGAAGTCATCTAGTCCAACCCCCTGCTCAAAGCAGGACCAATCCCCAACTAAATCATCCCAGCTGGGCTTTGTCAAGCCAGGCCTTAAAAACCTCTAAGGATGCAGATTCCACCACCTCCCTATGGAACCCATTCCAGTGCTTCACACCCCCACCCCCGCCAGTGAAATAGTTTTTCCTAATATCCAACCTAGACCTCCCCCACTGCAACTTCAGACCATTGCTCCTTGTTCTGTCATCTGCCACTACGGAGAACAGCCGAGCTCCATCCTCTTTGGAACCCCGCTTCAGGTAGTTGAAGGTTACTATCAAATCCCACCTCACATATCCACCAGGAAGGAAGCTCTCAGCCTAGACTTCTCCTGCTTCCTCCCTCAATGCTCCCTGGTTTCTCGCCACTCCAGAGCAAACGGATCAGACTCAGCACAGAGCATCAGCTTTGGAGAGAATGTTTTCTAAGGCCGCAGGCCTAGGGTGACCATACATCCCGTTTTGCTGGGACACTGCCCTTTTTTAAGCCCTGTCCTGGACATGCTGACTTTTTTGGGCAAAAATGGGCGTTTGCCCCGTTGTTCTGGCCTGTTGCAAGTTGCTCGGATCAGCTGGCAAGAGCAAAGGGAACAAACAAGTGGGTTGAGCCCCCGGGGTGGTGCGGGGCTCGGGCAGTCAGCCCCGGGGCAGTGCGGGGCTCGGGCAGCCAGCCCAGGGTGGCATGGGGCTCAGGTGGACAGCCCCAGTTCCAGGCGCCGTGGGGCTCGGCAGTCAGTCAATGGCAGCACGGGGCTCGGGCAGCTGACCCTAGTCCGGGTGGCCTGGAGCTCAGGCGAGCAGCAATGCCAAGTGGCTTGGGACAGCCCTGTGCAGGGTGGGGGGTGTCTCAGGTGAGCAGCAACACCAGGCAGCTCAGGACAGCACCGCACGGTATCCTGATTGCACTGGTGACAGGCCCCTTTAAGAGGGAGCAGGGTCCAGAGCACGGTGACTGGCCAGCTGTCTCCCAGCTGGGCTTGAGAGAAGGCACCTGGCCTTTATAAAGGAGAGCTGTGTGACAACAGACTGAGGAGGGACGGAATGAATGAATGAATGAATGAATGAATGAATGAATGAATGATGGAAGGCTCATGCAGTGGGCTCTGGGAAATGAGGGGAAGAACAAGGGCAAGCTGGGCCTAGAAGCAAGGGATTGACTCTGGAGGGGGATCCCCGGAGCAGGGGTAGGACTCTCCAGTGAGGAGGCCTGGGAGTGGAACGCCGTGGGCTGCAGGAGAAGGCTCACGGGGAGACATGGGTCCTGGAAGTCTCAGGGAGGAGACTTGGAGAGTGGGGTGTTGGGAGAGGAGCAGGGCAGAGGGGTTACTCACCCTCGGGTGAGTCACTTGGGGATGGTGCCCTTTGAATGGGGGTGAAGCGCTACTGAGTTGTGTCTGGGTTTTCCCTTGGGAGGAACTGATTTTCCCATGAGGGGTCTGCTGACTATGGCACTTCGTGAATAAAAGGATTTGAATTTTCTACTGAGAGAGGCAGTATTCCTTTGCATGCGTGACTAAAGGGGACAAAGGCAGGCGTCCTTGGGGTATTGGAGTCTGCCAGAGGAGGGGCCACCCTATCACATAGGGAAACTGAGGCTCGGGGGGAGCGATATGCCCAAGGTCACACAGAGCTGGCAATATAACGCGAGTGGCCCAAGCCCTAGCCTAGCACCCTTCTGCTAGACCACACGGCCTCCTTTTAGCTTAAAATAGTGAGTGCTAGCTGCAAAATGTGCTGCCAGAATTCAGTCATCGGCTCCCGTCCCCCCCCTTGAGAAGACTGCTGGCTTTAAACAGACTCACAGTCACAACTCAGGCCCAGCTGCTGCTGATTTCAGTGGGTGGCTTGCTTGAGTGATGACTGCACTCCGCTGGGTTTTGTCCAGTTTGGAGAAGGTGTTAAAAGATCAGCTCATGCTGATGGGCGCTTCTAGCAAACTTTAGGGACTCTGGTACTACAGGATTAAGTACTGGGTAGACAGACAGATTCTATCAAAATCCATATATATAGATGCCTCAATAAGCCCTGGGCTTGCCTATATTGTGTTTTGGCTATCCCGGTTTACTATGCCAGTACAGCTGCATGCACCTGTGAAGTTCACCCTGGTTTCAAAGTCTCTCTTCTGTTCTTGCTAACAAATCTTTCCCTTCCTTGTTTTGCAGAGTATTTAAGAAAGCAAGTCCCAATGGAAAGGTGAGTTCATCATCCTTGTATCTTTGGGTTTTGAAAGCCAAGAGCGGGGTGTGTCAAAAGCCATTTTTTCAAGTGTGCCCTCTCAAAATTCAAGGGCCCCTTGTGTGGCCATGACGTGACAGTGTCTGAATGTGCTGCGAAATGGATGCATGAGGCTTAATGAAGGGAATGCAGAAGTAAGTCTTCATTTTATGGTACCCAAATGTCTGCTAGATGCTTCTTGGAAGATATGGGAAGCAATGGCCCCTGCCTCACACTGCAAAATTCTAATCTGGACACAGTCTTGACAGCCCCGGGTGTTCACATATCATGAGTCAGGTCCAAAAAAATCTTGAGATTGGTGTAAAAATAATGAGTTTTTTTTTAAAAAAAATAATGACTTTTGGGCTTTTTTTTTATTTGCCTTTGGTTTCTGAGCTATAAGGGGTTTGTGAGGGGTTTCCCCCCCTCGGGGTGCTGCCTGGAACTGGGGTACCACTGAGCCCCCTGACCCACCAGCCTGGGTTCCCACTCACCTTGTAATGCTGTGACAAGCTGCAGACACACTCCTGGTCTCACACTTTCACCAGCACACAGGTAGGGTCACACCCAGCTGCAGCTACACACATAGGTGCTGAGATCAGCTCTGCATGGGAAGGATCAGCTAAGGCACCTCCCAGTTCCTAAGGCATGCACCCCCCTCTGGAGTGAAAACGCAAAATTATACTGTTGTGCACTTCACAGAAAACTGTACGGCATAAGCTCATGAAATTCACCTCCTCCCTCAATGTGGAGAGAGATATGCAACAGCTTTCTGACCCCAGTTATGATTTCCACACACTGGTTTTAGACAAAACAAAAACAAGTTTATTAACTACAAAAGATAGATTGTAAGTGATTATAAGGGATAGCAAACAGATCAAAGCAGATTACCTAGCAAATAAACAAAATGCTATTTAGACTTAATATGCTAAATAGGTAGGATATAAATGAGGAAATTCTCACCCTGGGTGTTAACAGGCTGGCACATTCATAGATTCATAGATACTAAGGTCAGAAGGGACCATTATGATCATCTAGTCCAACCTCCTGCTCAACGCAGGCCACAGAATCTCACCCACCCACTCCTGTGAAAAACCTCTCACCTATGTCTGAGCTATTGAAGTCCTCAAATCGTGATTTAAAGACTTCAAGGAGCAGAGAATCGTCCAGCAAGTGACCTGTGCCCCATGCTACAGAAGAAGGCTAAAAGCCTCCAGGGCCTCTTCCAATCTGCCCTGGAGGAAAATTCCTTCCCGACCCCAAATATGGCGATCAGCTAAACCCTGAGCATATGGGCAAGATTCACCAGCCAGATACTCCATTCTTAAGGCTCAAGCTGCCTTGGCTTTCCCAGGTGTTCATACACAGCCTAGCAATCCCTTAGCATGGGACCATCACTTCCCTCCTGTTCAGTATTCCTCAGGTGTTTCCAGGTGTGTTGTAGGGAGAGTGAGGTACCATCATGATGTCATTGTTGGAATCTGGGTAGAAGCGTCATGAGCACTGTTCCCTCTAAGCTGTGTGCATGTGGATGCGCACACAGATCCTAAACCCCACACACACGGCGAAACATCCTGCTCACAAAAATTTGCACAGAAGAAATTTTTTGCACACACGGCCTGTCAAAAATTAGAGGGAACGTTGGTCATGCGACTGGTCATGGTCAGGTGGATGGCCTGAAGAGTGGGACTCTAGAACAAGGGCAGAACAGAACTAGGAACCAAGGGTTGGGGGATTCCTGGGTGAGGGTAATGGACAGTCATGGGACCTCTATATATTTTACTGCATGAATCAGGCGAGTGGTTGCACCACGAAGGTTTTATGGACGATTGTATGTATAAATGAATAGATTACGTCTGGGGACAGGCCTTGGTATCAGACAGTGAGAGACTGTTCTCTTTTTAATGGCTGGCCCAAAAGGAAACTGGGGCAGATGCACTTACTACATGACCTGCTGCCAGCGGGTGCTCTATGACAACAAGGTGGTATAACAGATATGGACAAGGCTCTGGAGCTTCCCCTCTTAATGAGCCAGTTCATCACAACAGCTTTGGGTCAGTAACAGCTTCACAGCAGTGATGACTGCAACATTAGCCCTGAGACCAGAACTCAAGTTCAGTGTCCAACACTGCCACTGTTTTGCTGGGTGACTTTGTTGGTCACTTTCCCTCTGGGTGTGTCTCTTCCCCCGTCCCGCTGTTTGTCTGTTTAACTTGTCAGCCCTGTCTCTCCCTCTGCGTTTATATCCCCTAGTGCAGTGGGGCCACGGCTGAGGCCTCTGGGCAGCACATAACTACAAATATAATACATACTCCTGGGGGAATTCTGTGCTACTGCCCATGCACATAATTAATGAGCCACACATATTTTAAAATTTTTGTGCAGAAGAAAGTTTCTGCTGGAATGTTGCTGTAGTTCTGCCTTTTGCCCACCAGAGGGTACTGTGGTGCTAGAACAGAGCCGCAGCTCCCAGCCAGCTAGGGAAGAGAAAGAGCCTGCCTTCTTTGCATCGCCTGTCAGGCCAAGTCAGGAAAAAGGGGCTACTGGGAGACAGACAGTGTGGCATGCTGTGGGGGTCAGGCAGAGGCTCATAAGGGCTAATGGGGGAGGACAGACTGGGGCAGGGGCTGAATGGGAGTGGAGGTGCAAGGCCACAGTGAGGAGGGAGGTGTAGGGCCACATGGTGATGGGGCAGAGGGTGCAGAGCTACATAGGGACAGAGGGTGGCTGAATGGGGGCACAGAGACACATGGGGACAGGGGAGGGGGTTCAGGGACACATAGGGATGTGGTGGCTGAGTGGGGGCACAGACACAGGGATACAAGGGGAGGGGGTGCAGGGACACAGGAACAGGAGGTGGCTGAGTGGGGGCACACACATGGGGACAGGGGGAGGTGGTGCAGGGACACATAGGAACAGGGGAGAGGTTGAGTGGGGGGGACAGACACATGGGGACAGGAGGACGGGGTGCCGGGCAACATGGGGATGGGGGAGTGGATGTTTGAGTGGGGGTGGAGGGACACATGGGGACAGGGCAGATGTGCCTGATTGAATGGGAGAGGCTAGGGGTCAGCATGGGGGAAGCTCCCTAATAGTCGTCCCCCCCCGCGCACACACACCCTCAAAAACAAAACAGAACACCTGTTCAATACTTTTCCCACTCAGATCCAACAACCTTTCAAGTTCACACCCAGGCTCCTTCCCAGCAATTACTTCCCTCTCCTTCAGCTCCTCTGTTACCCGGACTCCCCCCAGCGTTTACACTTCTTCTGAGGGGTGGAAGAAATACGGTTCTGTATTGTAGTGTAAATGAATTATTACTCAGTTCTGTATTAATATGCTTAGTAAAGAATCTATTTGTCAAAAAAACATTTCCTGAACCTTTTTTGTTGTCTGTATTGTTACAGAAATACTTGCTGACAGGTATTGTGAAATATGTGACCAAAAATAATTGAAACTGTGATTATGTTGTGTTATTTTGACACACAAAATATGCAGAATTTGAAAAATTGTATGCAGAATTTTTAATTTTTTGTTGCAGAATTTTAAATGTTTTGGTGCAGAATTCCCCCAGGAGTTACCACAGGTTGGAAGCCATTTTTGAGGAGGGTGTGTACAGAAATTAGCAGCTGCTTGGCATGAAAGCCAGAAGTTTCATGTATTTGCTAACTCAGAAATGGCCTGGGCAATCTGCTCAGCAGAAATCTAGCCTCTCAGTGCTAAGGGCGAGTATTTGGGCAACATGGACTAGGGTTATTTGGACAAAGTCAGAAGGGAGTAAATACAGGGCTTAGAATGGAATGGATATTGCATCCTTCAATATGGAGCCAACTTTCTTAGGTGCAGAGCCAATGAAATATCGAGAGACTGGATCATAAGGAAATGTGCTTCGTCTTGCATTACATTTGCGCCCATGCAGAGAACCAGTGGAGCATTTTGAGCAGATAGCAGGAAACCTGTGATCGTATTGTCAAATCTAGCGAGTGTGCATGCAGCACATTTTACACTGTTATAACTTGGCCAGATGAAAATGAATTTTCACCAGACCACGTCTGCAATGGAAGGACCACACCTCTGCTAAATTTCAAGTTTTGTCTGTGTCCTACTGAGGTGCTAGAACTATGTTTCCAAAATGCAAACTTTCTCCTTTATAAGGATCAAAGAGCGTATTCTGCTTTCTTTGTCCTTGAAAACCAGCGCTCCGTTTTGCTCAAACTTTTCAGAGCCCTGTAAGGGTACATCTATACAGCAAAACAAAAAAAAGGCAGATATCTCCGCACAGATCAGCTGACTCGGGCTTGCAGAGCTCAAGCTGTGGAGTGACCAAAAGCGGTGTAGATGTTCGGGCCCGGGCTGGAGCCTGGGTTCTGAAACCCAGCAAGCAGGGACGATCTCAGAATCCAGGCTCCAGCCCGAGCCTGAATGTGTACGTTGCTACTGTTAGCCCCACAGTGCCAGCCTGGCTCAGTTGAACCCGGCTCTAGGACCTCCTGCTGCGGGGCTGGTTTTGCTGTGTAGGCATAGCCTTAGATGGGAACACAGCAAATTTCAGCCTCAAATGTCCAAGTTTGACAAAACTATAAGTAAAGCGGGGGGGGGGGGGGGGGAAAATTGTGACCTCCCACACACATACAGTTTCCCTCCCACCTTTTTTAAAGTTTGAAATTTATCGACGTTGGGAAAAAAAGAGATTTTTTTCACATTTCAGAACATTTCAACCAGCTTTGGCATTGGGTGAAAAACGAGGTGGGAAATTTCATCAAAATCTTTCCCGGGTTTATTTTTTTGAATTTAACAATTTGAGAATTTTCATCAAAATCCCCCTGAAAACCCCCCCAGCTCTGGATTAGACACGTCTGAAAAGAGCCCCGGAGACTGGAGATGCCCAGGCAATCTTAACAAGAGGCATTGCTTTGCATGCCACCAGCACCAGACCTCATGTGTCTACTCCTCCACTGCCCAAAAATACGTTTAATATT